ATAACAAAAAATAAAATCCAGAAAAACGCATATTAGACGTTATAACTTGATTTGCATGTCAATGAGTGAAATAAGTATTTGACCCCTTCGACTTAGTACTTGGTGGCAAAACCCTTGTTGGCAATCACAGAGGTCAGACGTTTCTTGTAGTTGGCCACCAGGTTTTTAATGTGCTTCTTCTTGAGCCACTCTTTTGTTGCGTTGGCTGTGTGTTATGGGTCATTGTCATGCTGGAATACCCATCAATGACCCATTTTCAATGCCCTGACTGAGGTAAGGAGGTTCTCACCCAAGATTTGACAGTGCATGGCCCAGTCCATTGCCTCTTTGATGCGGTGCAGTTGTCCTGTCCCCTTAGCAAAAAATACCCCCAAAGCATGATATTTCTACCTCCATGTTTGACTGTGGGGATCTTGGGGTCATAGGCAGCATTCCTCCTCCTCCTCCAAACACAGCAAGTTGAGTTGATGCCAAAGAGCTTGATTGTGGTCTCCTCTGACCACAACACTTTCACCCAGTTCTCCTCTGAATCATTCAGATGTTCATTGGCAAACTTCAGACAGGCCTGTACATGTGTTTTCTTGAGTAGGGGGACCTTGCAGGCACTGCAGGATTTCAGTCCTTCACGGCGTAGTGTGTTACCAATTGTTTTCTTGGTGACTATGGTCCCAGCTGCCTTGAGATCATTAACAAGATCATCCTGTGTAGTTCTGGTCTGATTCCTCACCATTCTCATGATCATTGAAACTCCACAAGGTGAGATCTTGCATGGAGCACCAGACCAAGGGAGACTGACCGTTATTTTGTGCTTCTTCCATCTGCGAATAATTGCACCAACTGTTGTCACCTTTTCAACAAGCTGCTTGGCGATGGTCTTGTAGCCCATTACAGCCTTGTGTAGGTCTACAATGTTGTCCCTGACATCCTTGGACAGCTCTTTGGTCTTGGCCATGGTGGAGCGTTTGGAATCTGATAGATTGCTTCTGTGGACAGGTGTCTTTTATACAGGTAACAAGCTAAGATTAGGAGCACTCCCTTAAAGAGAGTGCTCCTAATCTCAGCTCGTTACCTGTATAAAAGACAACTGGGAGCCATAAATATTGCTGATTGATATGGAATCAAATACTTATTTCACTCATTGACATGCAAATCAAGTTATAACTTTTTTGACATGCATTTTTCTGGATTTTCTTTTGTTATTCTGACTCTCACTGATAAAATACACCTACCATTAAAATTATAGACGGATCATTTCTTTGTCAGTGGACAAACATTCCAAATCAGCAGGGGATCAAATACTTTTTTCCCTCACTGTATATTGGTCTCCATTTCTAAGACACTGTGTTTCTGTTCTTTTGTAAACTTCAGAACAAATCTACTGCACAAGCCCTGTTAGAGCTACTGCTCTCCACAGCTTGGCTGACAAATCTGGCGGCGGCAGGTTGTGGAGCATTAACCCCTAACACTAGTTATTTAAAGTGTAAAACCTGCTTTAGAAGTCACACAATTAGGAAGGGCTCTGGGGATATATGTGATGTTGCTGGGATCCCCACTTCATTTTACTATAGTAAACTACATGTTTTTCTACAAATGCTGTTTTTTTAGTTATGAAATGGATTATGGTGAAAAAGCAATTCTAAACATTGAGTAATCAACAGGAACAGTCATCAGTAGGAATATTCCACTGGTTTCCATGACAACGGTTTCAGATGTAAAACAATCAACAGAAAGTTCCATCAGTTTTCATGGTGATTTTCAGCCATAAAATAATTATCAGAAATATGGCAATTATTTTAGCTATAGAAAAATCAGCAGGAACATTCCATTGGTTTCCATGGTGATTATTTTAGCTATAGAGCAATCGGCAGGAACATTCCATTGGTTTCCATGGTGATTATTTTAGCTATAGAGCAATCAGCAGGAACATTCCATTGGTTTCCGTGGTGATTATTTTAGCTATAGCGCAATCGGCAGGAACATTCCATTGGTTTCCGTGGTGATTATTTTAGCTATAGAGCAATCGGCAGGAACATTCCATTGGTTTCCGTGGTGATTATTTTAGCTATAGAAGCGCAATCAGCAGGAACATTCCATTGGTTTCCGTGGTGATTATTTTAGCTATAGCGTAATCAGCCAGGGCCGTGCTGGGACCGAACGGGCTGGCATTATATGGAACCATAAAAAGGTGCACAGGTCAATTCATTTAACTTTCAAGAAGAGGTAAAAACCCTGGAAAAATTTATAAATCAAGAATAGTATTTACAAATGCAGACAATTAAACTTTCACTTGTGGTTTTGTTTTGTTTTGTTTTTTCTTCTTCTTTCAAACCAACAAGTTTGGGATTTTTTCTAATCTCAGATTGAGCTGGAGACTATTTGAGAAGCCAACTGTCTTTTTAGCACCTGTTCAAAGAGACAATGTAGTCAAGGCAATCATTCTGATTACCTAGCATTCGACAATATGGGGAGTAATTGGTTATTGCATATACGATCTCATAGATAAAAAAAAGTGATTCACTTTGAATTCTCAATTTAATGAATAACTGTTAGTTTGAATGAGTATCACAGAGCTCCGCCAACAACACTCACAGTAATGTGCAGTGTGTATAAGTGTATCACAGAGCTCTACAACAATAAACGTCACCTTGCATGTTAAAAATGCAGTAAAAATATAATAAATACATTAATAAGTTTGTGTAAATAAGATACAAAGTCCCAAATTACTTAGTCAACTAGCAGGTCATAATGTTGCCTAAATATCTGGGTAATGTCCTATTCTCTAATCTCCATGCCACCCACCCCCTAAAATGAAAGTGCTGCTTTGGATATGTGAATTATTCATTGTTAAAGTTCTCTCCAATAATGCTTATCCTACATTAACACAAAATGCATGGCATTAGGGCAACAGTGAAGGGAAATAAAATGACCACTTACACTGACAAGCTAAGGTGGTCTATCCTACTTCAGATTTAAAACAAACAACAAATGAATGAAAATAACTGCAATAAGAGTGTGTAAGATAAGGATAACATTTTAGATTGTTTTCATTATTCTGTTTTCTTAGGCCAGCTATCCAAATGGTGACACAGCATGTATTCTTGGTAGTGTAACATAAGTACAATTACTGCAATACCCTACAGCGGTAATGGTTAACCTTTGGCACAGCAGCTGCTGCATCATGGGAAAATTAGAGCATGACAGATGTGGTGCCAAAGGTTGGCAAACACTGCCCCATAGTCTTCTTACTGAATCCCACCTGATGCCCCACTTATCTCTGTTTCTGCTTCAAGCCGCAGCTTTGGGTTTGTAGCAAGTCTGTCCCTGATCACATGCGTGCCACAGAATAAAAGAGGCGATTGAATTTGTGAAGACTTAGCATTTCCAGGTTTCGCTCAGTCCTGATTAATTATGTCATTAACGTCCGATATAATTGTGGTATCTGGCTAGCAGACTATGGCATTACTGGGACTTTGTTCAGCTATCTGTAAATACAGTACTGCTCTGATTATTTTAATATAGTGCGTACAATATAAGCGACGAACATTGCCAGTTATTGCCTTGTACAGCTTATTACCTAATGCCGGGTGCGTGAAAGAATTTCAAACCAAGTGACTTTCTTATGGCCCACAGCCATTTAAAGAAACATACAATGTGTCCTTTACAATCTAAACACATGAAAAGCTCTGTCGAGCTGTTCATTTTTGGAAGTCAGACAGGAAGGTCCCACTGGAGCCAGCACATTTGGGAGGTATGCCTACACATTAAATAGGATATCTTTACATTTTTAGTTTTTTCAAAAAGACATCCAAGTGTGTAAAAGTCTTTTCAAAATCTGACAAAACCGCTTTTTAGGCAGCAAATTCCAAATGTTTGTTATAACTGTAAATAAGTCTTTCCTCTCTCGTAGGCAAACACCACCTTTCTTCCCATCTAAATGGGCGACCTCTAGTGCTTTGTACAGTGCTATTAATGAACAGGTTACCAGAAAGTTGTTGGTACTGGCCCTGTTTATATTTTTATAATGTTATTCTATTTCCTATGGACACTGCAGTGTATCATACACATCACTTTTCGATACTGGAGTTTCTTTTGCCAAGAACCATATCAGATACTTTAGAGAGTTCATTGAAGGGCTACTAAACTGGTTCATGGATTGCGGGATAAAACTTACCAGGAAAGGTTAAAGTATCTTAACATGTATAGCTTGGAGGAAAGGCGAGACAGGGGGGATATGATAGAAACATTTAAATATATAAAGGGAATCAACACAGTAAAGGAGGAGACTATATTTAAAAGAAGAAAAACTACCACAACAAGAGGACATAGTCTTAAATTAGAGGGACAAAGGTTTAAAAATAATATCAGGAAGTATTACTTTACTGAGAGGGTAGTGGATGCATGGAATAGCCTTCCAGCTGAAGTGGTAGAGGTTAACACAGTAAAGGAGTTTAAGCATGCGTGGGATAGGCATAAGGCTATCCTAACTATAAGATAAGGCCAGGAACTAAATAAAGTATTTAGAAAATTGGGCAGACTAGATGGGCCGAATGGTTCTTATCTGCCGTCACATTCTATGTTTCTGTTTCAGTCCTGTCCTCTTGTGCCAGAATACAACACTGAATTCTATATATTACCCTGCAAGAACGCAGGATCCTCCATAGACCATATCTTGCAATGAGCGAAGCGATGCCTGAATCCTACAGCCGCTGTCACGCTTTGCAATGGCTGCTGTTGATGACGGAGTTCCGCATTTTGTCCCTACTTTGTCTTATGGCATCTTTGGATTGCATTGGGATTTTAATACAGTCAGCGTTGGTATTTCATAAACATTATATCTGTATAAAATACTAAGAAGTGAGAGAGACGCTTAAATGCCAATTACACCAAATGACGAAAACAGCTGAGCCAGACAAATTTTCCTATTTGGCTATTCTAGCTTAAAATTTGCAATTACCTCTATAATCTTTCTCAATTCCCAGTTTAATGTCTTTTTTTTTTTTAAATGTGTGTAATGCTTCACAAATGTGCGCGTCATCCTTGCACAGGAACCTAATATTCACTGTGTCGTTAAAATTTCAGTATATGTCTTATTTTTCCAACTTTGCTATTTTAGCTCCAAAATTCCAGAATATGGGCAACATGCTCAGATAATTGCAGTTGAAATGCGCATGCACTGGGACAATCATTTTCAAGTGTTCTGGTGGAGCAACAATGCCATCAGATTAAAAAAAACAAACATGTTTATCTTGAGATTTGCAAAACAGTAAGATCGATGAGTTTGGGCCAGACATGGTTAACATGCAGACATTAAATACAGCCGTGCACCAAGGATAACTGTTGGCATTTTGTTAGGCACAAGCCTCTACCGGCTGTTGTTTGGGATAAAAATATAATAATAAAGAAGAAAAAAAAAAAACATTTTGGGGATATTTACTTATCTACTAAACAAAAATTGTAGTGATTTCTCCAACCATGCTTCAGTCAGAACTTAGCTATTGTAGTCTAAAATTTGCAATTCAGTTTTTAGATCATTAAAGTATTTAGAGAATAATATGTGTGTATATTCTATTGCTCCTTCTATTATCTCCTTTCTTTCTTCACATAAGCTCTATCATCTATAATGTCTATGTTTCTGTCTATGGAGAGCAAGGCCCCATTATTTGTACAATGCTAAGGAATCACACGCAGCTATACTTAAAACATGCCGATACCCACTGGAAGAATCATCTCTCGAATCCTACCGCTAAGGCGACAAACAGTGGTGGGTAAGTAAGAAATGGACCCAACAAATCCCCAAACAACTAAATAAAATGAAATAAAAATCCTCTCCAATCGTTCGCATCTGAAGTTTTTTGTTTTTTTAAAACATTGTCAGCATGGAACTAATGAATTACTGTAGAGGAATAAATGGTCTGTTTAAATAAGTATTATTTTAAGACCCGGCCCAGCAATGCCTGTTACCCCGGTCCCCAGACAACAGTGGATTTGTGAATTTGTAAGCTGCGCTGTATGAAAAATATAAATTGAGATAGAGCACAGAGACTGGCTTTCATCCAGTTATTACACAATGCAACCTGTTAGACATGCACAAGTTCAGTGTCACCAAAGCTAGATATTAGATTTAAAGAAACGTTGTCACTTCGGAGATTTAAGAAAATAATGACCCTTTACAATGTGTTATTCAACTAAAACATTGTAAGACAAAAAAAGAGACTACTTTGTCATATGTACATTTTGGGGGGGCGGGGGGGTGTTTGTAAAATATGGTAAAGGGAACAATCAGCTTCCACTTGCTTTGTATTGCTGCTATTTTTTTATGTAGATGTGTAAGTAAACTTGTGGATAAAGATATTTTAGAAATTCAGGACATACCTGAGACCTCAATCCCAAATCACTATGTTGTGAGAAATAGGCCAGACCATTCTAAAAATAAGGTGAATGGATATATAAAAACATTGAAATCAGCAATCTAGTTTCAGAAGACAATTTGAAAGGATGAAAAACAACTCCTGTTGTGTAAGCCATGTACACTGTCTAATTGAATATCATTTCACTATGGGATACAGTGTAGAGCTGCTTCTACAATTAGGATATCAGACGGAAACATATTGACTACTTTAATAACTGCTGTGTTCCCATTTTCTGATCCATGCATAACGTTTGAAGAATTGATTTTATTCTGTGGCTTGTAAGGCGTTAGCCTAGCTTTTCAATATCATTTGGAGGGGGATTGTTTGATATTTTAAATACAATTGGACTGTGAACATGTAAACACATTTTAGACAGTTCAAATTGTCATATTTTCACAATTGGGACAGAGAATAGCTTGAAATAGAGGTTGAAGAGATAATAAAATAAAGGGAGGGGATATTGGTGGAGGTGCAAAGTGTATGCTTAAAGGCTTTAGTGGAAAATCAGAGCACAGTACTTTGGGGAAATTGTTATTAAGTGCCAAGCTGACTGTTGGCATAGTTATACCTTGCTAAACAGGAGTAAAATAGATGTACTGTTATAATTATATACATTTTTACCTTCAACAACTCGTCATTCTTGAGGAATTATTATTGTTGTACTTTTCACTTGTAAAAGCTTGCCATTCTTTTCATCTCTGCTTAGTAAAACTAATGCTATATCGTCCAAGAATGCATCAATTAAAGGAAGAACCATTATGGGATATAAATTCTATTTTATATTCCCATTAACCCTATTGTTTAAATATGACCAGATATGTGAGTATTCCACTGGGCCAAAGCAATGTAACTAGGACATAAAGCACGGTGAATACTTTACTAATTATTACGCAATATGTCCATTCATTTTAGTTGGTCTGTAATACTCCCGTTATACACTGGTGGCAGACTGACTGCTGGGTAAATGTTAACCATAGGATCACATGTAAGTTTACATCATAGAGTGTCGCAGCATTGGTGTAAGGCTGACCCTTCAAGGAACATTAAAAACTCAATTAGAAATGACTTACACGGGCATTACAATTTGCCGCCTCTTTAACATAGTGCCTAATTATGTACTGCACAACCTATTAGATGGAGAGAAGTAGAATTATCTGTCTATATCTGGGCATTCGTTCCAGGGAAACAAGTTTAGTTTCATGTCTAGATAACCCTTTCAGTGAAACATGAAGGTAATAGGTTGTGGCTAGCGTCTGTCATGTAAAGGTTAAGATGAACACCCTTCAGATTTATTTTTCTTTTATATATCACACTTTTTCTTTATCATGGTTATCAGTGGAATTTATTTAATAAACAATGAGCTGTTGTGACAACCAAGAAGCCAAAATTGTGGTGGCAGGAGTTTTTTTGTACTTTCAGTCATTCATCTGTGATACAAGCAGAATCAAACTCAATGTCTCGCAATATATTTATGTTTTCTGTTATAGCTGCACAGACATTTGTTCATGTGTTGCAGATTAGGGTAGAGTAAGGATAACATTTTCTTGACATAACTCCTACCAAAGACCAAAGAGCCCACGTGGGTTTCCTAAAGCCCAAGTATGATAAAAACATTTAAGGAGCTTAATGGCCAATTGTGGTGCTGACAAGGTTAACAGGAGTTTCCATTTAGCAAACCCAATTTTAGGATTGTATGTTAGTGTTTATGAAAAATGTATGTTAGGAATTAATGTAGATTATCATACAAATTCCATTTGTTTCTACCATTCCTAAATGATGTCAAATTGTCCAATATTTGTTAGTGAATAATGTCCTGTTAGAAGTGAGGAAGAGCTCCGTCAGTGCTCATATGATACAAGTTAAATACTTGGCAAAATCTCAAGAAAGGATGCATGGCAGTTGTGATACAAGTAATAGAAATAAGGCATACTGGCATTGAACTGGCTACCTGCAGGACACAAAGGAATGTATGCTTGAGCCTGTCTACTGATGTTCTATTCATTTATACCATAACAATGAAAAGTTCCTCCTGACAACTTTCAGAGATAGATCTCTGGTATCCATTATCTTAGATAATCCAAGTCAGGGGTGGCACACAATAGATATTATGAGTTCCATTTCTAGGCGTCAGTCTATTCCTCAAATGTCACATGGTGGAGAAGGATAAAATGTATGGCGAGACTGCATGGCTAGTTTATGTCATTGTGAGTTAGAAAGTACTATCAATCGCCAACAAGTCCCCAACAGACAATGGTAACTTTTAGGTACCTATATACAAAAAATTCAGGTTGCAACCCAGCAATAATTTCTCCATTTCAATCAACTTTTTTGCTTGTAAGTCTTCACATGCTTTTCTTGAATAAGAGAAGTGTGGGCTGCATTATAATTCTGCATGAAGTTTCAGTAAATCAAAGCTGTCATATTTAGCACTAACACAATATCCCTACAAATGAATGTCTAAAAGGGATTGAGAGTATTTAAACAATGGAAATTGGTAATGTTTAAAAAAAACAAAGACTCATAGATTTTGTGGTTTCAAAGGTCTTGCTTAACCCGAACTAATGACAATTTTAGCTTAATGAAGCAGTTTTGTTGTTTAGATCATGCCACTGCAGTCTCACTGCCCAATTCTCTGCAATTTTGGAATTATATTCAGCCTTAGCCACACCTCCTTGCATGTGACTTGCACAGCCCTGCTGAACACTTCCTGACAAGAGTGATCTAATGTTTAGCCCCTTAAGGACACATGACATGTGTGACATGTCATGATTCCCTTTTATTCCAGAAGTTTGGTCCTTAAGGGGTTAAACATTCTTTATTACACATTCTGTTTTATTAATAATTAATATTTATATTTTATAATTAATTATAATACATTTGAATTTCACTTTAACTTTGATTTCTCACTTAAGTGAATAACTTTGTAATTTAAAGGGACACTCCAGGCACCCAGACCACTTCTGCTCATTGGGGTGGTCTGGGTGCCAACTCCCACTACTCTTAAGCCGGTAACTAATTATTGCAGTTTATAATTACATTGCATGGTTAACTCCACCTCTAGCGGCTGTCTACTAGATTAAGGTAGAGTAAGGATAAAGTTTTCTTGACATAACTCCTGCCAAAGACCAAAGAGACCACATGGGTTTCCTAAAGCCCAAGTATGATAAAAACATTTAAGGAGCTTAATGGCCAATTGTGGTGCTGACAAGGTTAACAGGAGTTTCCATGTAGCAAACCCAATTTTAGGATTGTATGTTAGTGTTTATGAAAAATGTATGTTAGGAATTAATGTAGATTATCATACAAATTCCATTTGTTTCTACCATTCCTAAATGATCAAATTGTCCAATATTTGTTAGCGAATAATGTCCTGTTAGAAGTGAGGAAGAGCTCCGTCAGTGCTCATATGATACAAGTTAGATACTTGGCAAAATCTCAAGAAAGGATGCATGGCAGTTGTGATACAAGTAATAGAAATAAGGCATACTGACTTTGAACTGGCTACCTGCAGGACACAAAGGAAAGTATGCTTGAGCCTGTCTGCTGATGTTCTATTCATTTATACCATAACAATGAAAAGTTCCTCCTGACAACTTTCAGAGATAGATCTCTGGTATCCATTATCTTAGATAATCCAAGTCAGGGGCGGCACACAATCGATATTATGAGTTCCATTTCTAGGCGTCAGTC